CAAAATATTGTAAAACAGTATTTAAGGGGAAGGTTATAAAAGTACTCAAACCTTATACATTGTAAATAAATCTATACGTTGGACGTAGGTATATGATATTATAATAATCTTATAATATATCCAACGAAACGAGACTAGCGGAGGTTGTTCTAAACTTAGAAATACTTTTAGTCATAGTTCTTAAAACCATGGGAAGATGCAAGCGCGTGTTGCTAAACACGATTATAATATACACTATATACTTATATACTTAGTGCGTGTGCGTGTTTTTCTTCTATTCTTAGACGGTATTGGCAACGGCGTTTACTCATATAAAATTAACGAACTGCACACAAACCCACACACACACATACGCATACACACACGAACACTTACATTCCGAATTCGCTGGAGACCATATTTTATAGTTCGGAAAATACACATATGTTACAGCGTGTTACACCCACCATTTCGATATTCACCATCTTAAAGGAGAATACCAATTTTAATGGATTAGAAAAGAAATCAAACCCAATGTAGGTATATACATTATAAAAGTACCTATGTACTATATATTCTATATAATTATATTTTTTTTAAGACGGTCTATATATTGTATATACATTTCCCTTTAATACTTCGTGAAATATTGATTATGTTAAGTTTATGAACAAGGGCAGACTGGAAATAAAAATTGGCCACGGGGAAACAGAAAATTCGGCCCAATTTTGGGTTAATAATGAAATATTTATAAGTTATCTCGGTCTAAATTTATTCAAATAGGAGACATTTTCGACAGGCCCAAGTGGAGATCGCTCATCCGCCACCCTAGCCCTCCTGACCCTGAGTATGAAGGTACAATAACAATGGCATAAGTATTACCAGGTTATAACTGTAATAAATACTAATTCATACTATAGGTAGGTGCTTAATAAGCCGTTTAGGTATTTTGTCAAGATAATATTGTAGTCCCCATGTGGCATGAATCTGTATGTACTATGTATGTATATTACATATGTATAGGTAAATAATTTTCATCTTTTTTGTTGGTAGGTCACCGCCGCCACAGCTTTAATAATATGCTATTGATTCGCACGAGCTGGTACACCTTATATGACAAGCATCGTATTACTCGGTCAGACCAGTTAGTGTCACGTAAATAAGTGCGTTCGCTTTATGTCATGGCAGTCTAAACGTCCATTTATACCTACGTTTTTACGACTTTCGGGTAAACAAAACAAAATTAGCAAAAAGGGATAGAAACAATATTTGGAAAAAAAAATGTGGTTAAAATAATGTCATAGGGGATGGAGAGACTTCACAAGTTGTGAATTACAACCACCGTCGCCTATGCACACACATAAATACGTGTGTGCGTGCTTGTCTATATACTAATGTCATATTGCCATGTACAGCCGTACAGGCGACTTTAGGTGGCGCGCAGAAACGAAGAAAAGATAAACCGTCTCTGCGGTATATACAACAGAGCTATAAACAGCTGGCCGGGAGAAAAGGGACGATTCGGCGGTGTCGGTCAGCTTTGCAACTTATATTATCATCAAGAATGATTTTTTCGGAGCATTTATAATATATTTGCAGTGCATCGTCGTCCTCTCTACAGGCACACACACTACCTACGTCCGAAATTTGCTACAGTAATCATATACTAGACACATAGGTAATAAATAATAATGTGGGTGAGTACTAGGCAGTACCTATAGGCTATAATATATAGGGTCCAGCTGTGTACCTGCCGTCCTGAGTCCCTTTTAAACGAAATCCACATCAAAGGTACCTATTTACTCACAAGTCACAAACACACAGTGATGTAAAATAGCAACTATATTGTATAATGTAGGTAAGCTATTGTCTATTGGTAGATTGTATTTGAGAGTGCTACCGGTTTTAATGTGTGTCGAATTCCGTAATAATAATTGTTAAAAATTAAAAGGCGAAATGATACGAAAAAACCATTTTTAGGTTGAGTGAACCACGTGCGTAGATCTATAGTGTGTAAAAAGAAAACGAAAGGAATTCGAACTTTCTTAGCTCCTCTCCTCCCCCCTCTTGAAAGGCCACACATTTCCAAAAGACATTGTAATCCCGGTGACCCAATTACCACAACTCATCACGGGATACATCATCAGCTAAGTACACGTGATGACATGTATATACCTTAAATCGGATCTGAAAAAATCAATTCCCAAACCGTCCGTCCCGCCCTCGACCATCACGATAAAAGTGTATGTTCCGCACAGCACTTACACGTAGACGGGGTAGGTACAAGTGTGATGGCGGGGTGGTAGTGGTGGGCGCGATGGGTGGTCCGGGTGGGGTAGACGAGTGATGCGTTGGTACGCCGGTGATACGCACGCACGACCAGTGATGAAGAAGTGATTTTTTAATGGTGTTCGGGAAAGGGAGGTGGAAATTTAAACCTAGTTAATGACAATATCAAAAATATCTACTTTTAGCTATGCTAATATTTATAATGGGTACCCACGTCAATATTGAAGTATATATTGAGTAGGTAACCAAATTATCGTTTTAAATTACCAATACCTAATTTCGATATGAAATTCAAAATGTGCAGGAGACACTACACACTTGCATACTTCTAAAAGAAATGTGGGGGAGAATCTGACCCTCCGCCCACGTCCATCCTATGAATGTGACTGTCATTTGCAGTCATCATTACATAACATTATATAATATATTATAATGTATCACAGTAACGGCGCGGTCCGTCATGTATATTAGGTACCTATGATGAATAACATAGACATTATATTCACCCCAACTCTTGGCAGACCGGCCGAGAAACTCATGCGAGCTCGGGTTGTATATGCCCATGATGATCTTTTGCCATATCGTCCGGTCATCCTTCACCTTGGCGTATTCCCATTCGTACCCGATGCCGTTCGTGTCAGTGTTGTGCTTGACCATGGTGGCGACCGCGCGGTTCCGGGGTACCTAGGTCGGCGAAACGGAACGCGGTTGTACTGGGGAAGGGGGGCGCGACCCGCCGGAGGATGCGATTGACCCGAAACGGTGGCCGAGAAAAGTGCGAGTCGAGTACGATGCGATTGGTCGGGTGGCGTTCTCGTGTTAATTGGGCGCAGCGATGACTGAGACTGACGTACGCTCGCGACGGTCAGCTTTCGCGGGACCGGTGAAAATGGTATCGGTGGCGGCAGCGGGTCGGCTGCAGCGGCGATCGATGACGACGGGCGGGCGCGCACAATAAAAATACGGTACGCCGACGTATACGGTGGCGCGGCGACGGCGTGCGAATAGCGTCCGCGCCGGCGGTGGTGTACTCGGTCGGCGGCTCGCCGTGCTCGATACCGCAGTGTTGCCCCCTCGACGAGCTTGAAACACCGCTCGCCAAAAAACCATATTATAATACAATATTAAATGTATATAGATATATTATTATACGATTATATTATCGCCGAGCGTTTTCAGCTTGGAATTTTCCTTTTTTCCGTTTCGCACCCCTCACATCCACCCCTCTAGACACTAGTCCATACGTATAAGAGAGCGTTCGTGTGCGTGTGTATATATGCGTTGCACGCGTACACTACAACTGTATTCGTCGTTTATTGATTCGGCCCGGGTTGTGCAAAGTGTCGCTCAAGGGCTGAGTGTAGCACGAAGTTTTTAATCGAGGATAAACAGAATAAAAACGCTTCTAGTCATGTTCTATTCTAAATTAATAGAACTAAAATAAATATTAAGTCAAAGGTAGGTACTCAAAGCCTCGAGTACCTAACCAACGTAACCCCAAATACAATTTTAAACCGTACCTTATTAAATAATATATACCTATAGGCTATAGGTACTTATTTTGCATGACAGATTTCGAGTTCAGTTTACAAATTACTATAATGTGCTATAAGTTATCAACTATCCATACACCTATGATACAACTTTTGTTCGGTTTAATCATTTTATAGGTAAAATAAATCCCCAATCAACTACGCTATTTTAACTGACTCGTATTCCAGTTATAAGTTTTGTACTCCTTTACATAGGCGTGCGCAGACTTAAATTTTTGGTCGAGCCTAGACAATTATAGTGCCCTAATATTTGGACTGTGCCCCTAATTTTTTTTTTAACACACCAACATACATGTTGATAATATTATATTAACCTATTAATGTCTATAGTATAGTTATTGTATTTGTACCTATAAACCCTGTGTACAATTATCAAGAACATAGAGGTTACATAGACTGCCTTTTTAGTGTTGCGAAGTTAGAAAATAATTCTTATTAACTACTCAGGGATGTATTTGATACGCCAAACGCCAGGTTGAGTGATGTTATTAATTTGAACATCGCACACAACTTCTATTTTATGTAACATTTATAATTACGCATGGTAATTGTTTTTTTGGTCATACAACCTCGCATATAAGTTAACTAACGTCTATGCGTTATAATAGGGATAACGCATATAAGTTAACAAACGTCTATGCGTTATAATATAGGGATAACTATATTTATACTATGGTAGTTAATAGTTAGTATATCTACATTGCATAACCTTCCTACGGAAGTGGACATTTTGTGTAGGTATATAAAAAAGTCTACCCCCTCCCTTCAGGAAAAATGACCTATTTTGTAACTATACCTGAGTGAGCCTCTTACATTTTTTAGGCTGAACTAGAATGCAATTTTTAAACGTTTGATCTATATTTTATTGCAAAATAATAATAATTAAATTTATTAATAATAAAGTGATATATATAGCAATAATTAATTAATTATTAATCACTTGTATACACTTCATACCTATTTAAGGATAGAAACCTATATACTCTGTTTCCTCATTAAAAATTGCACATATACATACCTACATATTATATTCTACCTTGTATTTACTATAAATACTTAATACTTATATACACTTTTTGCAAATCAATACATCCATCATATTAGTCTTTCATTAAGGATTTTACATGAGAATAAACAAATAAAAAAAAAATAGCATTTTAATAAAAAAAAATTTAATTTTTAATTATCATTATGTACACAAGTTATTGAAATAGCTTTTATATTTGAGACATTGATAAACAAACATTTATACTTTATATCACACAAATTAATAAAAAAAGAAATGCTTTGACTAGATAAATCTACATAAAAATCACCAATCAAACTAGAATTAAATGGATCATTAAACATTGGCATTGAGTTAAACTTAACAACTTCTAAAATTATATTTCCAATTGCCTTTTTTATAATTTTTTTGATACAAATAACATTTTCATTTTTTAACATAAAATACATATTTTTATTATTCACAGTACTTATAATCCATTTTTCTAAAACTATTGATTCATACAATGTATCAGTGGGATCACTGTACAACAAGGGATCATAAGCAATTTCTTTTTTTAAAATCGGGTAATTCACAAAAGGAGCAATATCAATATTTTTATATTCTATTAATCTATTATACACATCTTGAAGAGGAAATCTACAATTTTTTAAAGTACTTTTAATAATTTGTAAGCAGTTTTCAAATTTAAAAGCGCTAAATTTGTCTAACGAACCATGAATTTTTACAAATTGAGCTAAATGTATTAAGCCATGTACATTATAAGTTATATATTCCTCTCCGTATAGATTTGAATATTGAGTAACAAATTGTCTTAATAAACTATTGGCTAATTCATTGTAGGTGATGCATGTTTCATCCGACATAAGTATTCGGATTGAACAGTGTAGCAACATAAAATGTTTGTATAATGACTTTTTTAGTTTTCCTTTGAGTACAATCGGGCCAGAATAAAGTAGAAATGAGCGAAATTCTGTGGCTTTCCAGAACTCGAGCTCTTCTAATGAACGAGGTAAACGGCTAAATTCTTTTGGAAAAAATGATTTTAAACGTATAAGATCTGTTGATATCTCATTTTCAATATCATCATTAATAAAACGTGTGGTTTTTTTTCCTTTTTTCCAAAATAATAGTAATCGCTTCATCACACCTAGGCACACACAATGCATATATTCTAACACTACAGCATCTGTTATGTTTAAATCAGGAAACATTTCTAAAGGGCTAATGCCTTTATGATAGTCTTCATCCTTTTTACTACGAAATGATTCATTTGTTCGTAATTGGGAATTTATACCTGAATATGACATACGATTATTTAAAAAAGTTCCTTCTTCTATACACGAGTTACAACTGTGATACGCATTGTGCTGTTTAACGTTAAGTATAAAGGCCTTAGCGGGACTATCACAAACTACTTGGCTAATATCAAACCTAAATACTTTATTTTTTATTTTTATTCCATTAGCCTTGATAAATTGCATTTCATTAATAAACGGATTTAAAAATTCAAATATTGATGTGGGTTTTTTATACTGACCATGGTAAATACCAACAGGTAAACATTTTTGTGATAGCTCAAGAATGTCAACAAATGAAATTAAAATAGGCCAGAAACTTGATTTGGAACTTTTTGTCAGTGGTAGTCCATCAATATTTAAACTTAATTTTATTAAAGAAATATCATGAAGTTGATTGTAATATGCTTCTAAAATTGGTCTTATCAAAAACTCAATTCCAATATGAATATAAGATCCAGGATGTATATTAACAATTTCGTGTGCACGAGGAGTTTTTAATAGAGTTCTTACATCTTTAGGTAATTTTAGACCTTCAGATCTTAATACAATTAAGAGTTCATTTATAAAATTATGGGAAACATGGTATTTAGATATTAAATGTCTTAATTTATTTTCAAGTGAATTATTATTATCACATCCAATACTAGTTAAAGGCATACATAAATTAGTATCATCAATACAAGTATCTTCAGAAGGTGAATTAATTGAACTTGAATGGTTACCAACTGATAGCATAATTGAATCATCAACATCATCTGACGCATTAGAATGTATAACATTTTCTGATGAATTTGAAGTCTGTTGTTGAGGTTCATTTTTGTTCTGCAATGTAACAATTTCTGTTGCCAATTTGTTAGCTGGTAAAATTGAATTTGTTTCAATTGTAATCAAACGTTCAAATTGTCTCCTCGACATAGAATAAATGGATTTATTTTTTTTTGGCTGAAACAAACATGTTTAGCATTATTATATTTATCATATTAAATTATCCATTAAATTATGTATTTGAATACAATAATGAGGTACAATATCATAGTCATGGAAAAGTAAATAAATAATGATCAAAGTAATACCAAATAGGGGGGTAGCATATCTGCGCCTCTCTAAGTTGCATATAATTATATATTCTATTTTTATAAGGTAATTTTAATCCATATTTTACATTAATTTTATACAAACACAAATGTTGGTACCTACTTACCTAGTTTTTTGTAGTTTTCAAATGAAATTTTGAATTTTATTTTTTAGTATAATTAGAAATAACAATTCAAGAACAAATAATATAGTATTTCAAAACAGTAATAAAAATGTATCTTATAAAAAAAGTATTAAGTGAATGTTACTTTTTTTTATTAGCTTCTAGCATAAATTATTACAGCTCGGAAATTATGAAAGATAACAATTTCACACCATAGTAATAACAATACTGATAAATAATTTAAGTTACATATTATATCTAAAACTAAATTAATAATTGGGTATATTATAATAGATAGTTATTTATATTGAATGTTACTTATTATGCTATACTACCAACATTTGTTATGGATGAATTAAAAATACAGTTAAAACCATAAATGTTTAGCTTTTTTTTTAATGTATCTATATATCAAATTTTTTTCATATTAATGTTTATAAGCACATACCATATTTGCATTTATACTAAAAGTAAAAGGCAATATAAAAATATAAAATCACGAGACAATGATTCATGAAATTTACTTACTAAGGGAAATTTAATAAAATACTTACAACATAAATGTATATAATAGTAGGCCTATACTATTATATAAATATCGAAAAATGGAATTAAATGTTATGAGTGTTGGTTTTACATTGGTTTTTTTCTCGAGCATACCGCTGGTTACCATGGCGAAACCACTCTTTTACATTTTCTTCAAAAACTACATCGGTAAAATTGAAATTAATCCTTCCAATCTCTACAAAATAGCATCCATAATAAAATATATGGATTTGAAACAGTATTTGATTAAAATAAGTTAACACTTACAAATTATTTGTCTCAATAATATAATAAAAAAATTAACTTTACCTTTTATAATATTTATAGTAACAAGATTTTCTAGGCGGAAGTTATTACGAAAGCCAGTCCAAGAACACTTTGAAGACAGTTCATTAGTGAATAAACGTTGTAAAACGCGTTTCACAAAATTTTTTAGATCTTTACCACCTACTGTTGTAATAAAACTTTTCTGAAAACCAATAAATATCACAAATATTAATATTGTATATTATAAAATTATAAAAATAACTAAAATAAATGATGAATTTATATTATATAACTAACTAAATAATAGTGTTATATTTACCATTTTTTTCACAAATTCCTCATCATTTTTTAATTTAGATTCTATTTGTACTACGGATCCAAAATCATTCATTGGGAATTGAGAATAAAAATCTTCATCTATGGACTCCATGTTTTTTGATACAGAATTTGATGATTGATCTTTCAACATTTTTTCAATTCTGTCCATCCTTCCATCAATTCTCTTAACGTATGCAAATATATTATTTATAACACTTAAGCCTCCTATAAAAAACAATTACAATTAGAATATTTATTTTAATTTTAATTTTCTTCCTACCATAGTCTAATATTATCAACATAAATATGATAAGTACATTAATATGTTCACTTAATACCTATAAACTAATTATTAATTATATAACATTGGAATAATTAATTAAATAATGGCCTCATTAATTACTTAGTTCATTGATACTGTTACTGGACTGATTGATTTTAGTTAATTCCTGGATTTCAGAATCTGGTAAATCAAATATAGTGGAATGAGATGCAATCGTAGCATTGCCTGTTACAGTTTCAAAAAAAAAAAAAGTTAGTGAATAAATTAAATTTTTCTTTTAAAAAATATACTTATAGGTCTTCTACTATAAGAAAAACTAATTATTTACACTTAATTATGATTAATAAAATAAAATATATAGTTATTAATTATATTACATTTTAGGTAATACCTACCTAATTCATTTACACTGTTACTACACTCATTGGTCATGCTGTTTAAAGTTTGAATTTTGGAATTATTGAATAAATTAAAATTTGTAGGTTGAGATGCAGTGGTATCATGATCTGTTACAGAAATACTTTGGTTGAGATCTGTAAGAAAATAATATAACATATTTTATGTAATTTTCTGACGCTTTAATATTATGTACCTAGTGTTTTTATAATTTAATCAATAGCAACTTACCATAATGAACAGTGTTGTAGTTAGATGATGATGCACCACTGTTACTTTCAAACATAACTGCATTCAAAGCCTTTTGTCTTAACTCTTGGCATGTTTGATCCTGAATATTATGCAGTGTGTTAATTGCTACTGAAACATTGCATACTTTAATATATATGTACATATAATTTATTCAGAAATAGAAAACTAGTTAAGCTCAATGAATTATATGTCTTACTAGATATGATATTACTATTATTTTGTTCTTCACTGTGATCAGATATTTTAGTTGATATTATGTTAGAGACTTCATTTTTTTCCATTATTTTAATTGGAGATAAACTACTAGAACTATCTAATAAAATGTATAGAAAATAATATTAGGTACATTATTACTTCTACAAGTTTTTTTTATTAATAAAATAATAGACTAAAATCAATTAGTAAATTTATTGATAATCATTATTATTAAGTACCAGTATCAGTGTCGTTATTTTTCTTGTTTGACTTTTTTACCCTCTTTCCTCGACCAAGGCTTCTCTCAGATTCTGATGATAAAAATATTTGTCTTTCTTTTTGATAAGCTTGTTCATAAGTGTCTATAAGTATTTACGATTAACAATAAAAACTACAATAATATTATATTATATTATAATAATTATCTGATAGAACAACATAGGTACCTATATAATAAATTAATAATATTATTTTATATTTTTTTACAAATAAATAAGTAAGATCAGTTGACTAATAAAAATAAAATAAAGGAGAATTAATATTAGATGTTTGAACAGCATTAGGTAGGTATTTATAAATTTAAATTACAATTCTTAAATAATGTTAATAGAGTACCAATGCCTCACATGCATGTTGTTGTTTTTATCTTACCAAATATGTACAACATAGAAAAAATGCAATCAGCAGAATCCATATTATGTTGTTAGTTTTAATGTAAGTTAATTTACCTACTGTTACCCACTGTTGGTAAGAATATTATCAATAGCATATAATAGGTTTTTATTATTATTGTAATTTTAAAGCGAGTTTTGATAATTTTATAGTTGTGATATTTTACATAGCTAAATAGTTTTAACTCTTGGGTCAAGCAATGTGCAAACAGTACGGCCCTCATGTAGTGGTTATACATGGAAAAAAAATAGTTTTAACTCACTTAAAATTTTTTTTATTTTTTTTATAATTTTTATTAGTAATATACAATCTATGCACAAAGGCATAATAAGAATATGTGCTGAAATAAGTTTTAACAAGAAATAGGGTGGGGGAAGAAACCATCCAGTGATCGCACTTCACTTTGCTTAAAAACTTAAAATTAAAATTAAAAAAATAAAATAAAATCTTATTATAGGTATATTACTATATTAGCTGGACATTATTCTTGCCTTTAAGGTTTATAGTAGGTAAATCATAGACATAATATTATAATGTCTTTAATGTAAATTTACTCTAATATTATAGATAACAACATACATTGAATTCTGCAGAACAATAATGTACTATGTTGTATGTCAGTAAGACAGAGACAACACACACAAAAATGATGCGTCAAACAAATACCTACATTATTAGAATTATTATAGTTAAGTACCAATGATTTATACATACCAAAAGTAGCAATAATGGTAACTGGGTATGATAACCAGTTAGATTCTGGGTTGATAGCTTTCAAAAGCATTATATCCGTGACTCTTTGTTTAGCAGGCCATTTACATAAAAAATTACCATTGTCACCTCTATACACCCAGTTACTTGGTATAACTGAATACATATTCTCTTCTTCGAAAAAACCAACTAACCACTTGAACAATTTTTGAAACATGATTTATATTAATTTATACTAATTTTTCATAATTAATTATTGGTAGGTATCATTGGTAGCTATGCTAGGTACCTATTTTAGGTATATAAATCACGAATTAAGATATACTATAGTCCATTCAGAATAAGAGCACACCAGATTATGTAGCAAAACCGGTTAGGTGTAGTCTTATTCTGAATAGAGTATAATATATCTTAATTTGTGGTATAAATGCAAATATGTTTAACCTGAACTGTTTTATGTGTTGATCAACACTTGTCTTATGATAAAACAAAAATGAACACAATTATTAAAAATTGAAAATGTTATTAACAAAGACCTCCTTATTGCTATTTAGAGGAATTATTAAACCATAATATAATAATAGGTTATAGGTTAGGCTTGTACATATAATAAATAATTACATTATTACTTATGAGTTATTTACTTATGTATATTTAAAGTTAATAGGTAGATACCTACCTGTTTTTTTGAAGTATCCATGTCCATCATCTTAGGGTTTTTAGCCGTGAGCGGTTGATATATGAGATCACTGAACAAGGGTTAAACACAAACAAAGTGTAGGTATACCACTATACCTATAATAGTGATTATATACCTATACCGGACTATAATATTATTATATATTACTGAGGTATCGAACATTCGAACTTGCAGTACTTTTAAAGTTAAAACCGTATTACCGTATGAGTGTATGACAACTTTACTGAGTTAACTAAGACGACTGAGTGTCGAGTGATTGATTGATCAAGATTCAAGACGCATCGTACGCATAAACAATAACATTCAAAAACTATAAACATAAATATGTATAATATATGGGGAAATGATCGAAATTTAATTTTGGGTTATTAATAATC